TTAGGTTAAAAGTATTATTAATCTATCAGGATTCACTGGTCCTATCATCCATAATCATATTTAATATTAACTTTATCTTTATTAATTCTATTTAACATTTATTTATCTTTATAATTATAATTATCAATTACTATTTTAACCGTCTTTATAATTAGCATGCATCAATCATCATCATCATCATCATCATCATCATCATCATCATATCCTAATAAAAGTGCCAAAGGATTTGTGTTTGCATTAACGTTTTGTGAATATGATTTATTGTTTATATTTGATTTGACATTTGAAGAAGAACCTTCAACATCTTTTATATTTTCAGATATTTCTTTACTATTTTCTATTTTTGCGCGTTTTACATCTCTTGATTGTTCTTTTGAATCTTTGGTATGGTCTTTAATCTTATGGTTTTTATCACTTTTATCATGATTGTCATGATCATCTTTATCTATTATCAAAGATCTTTTCCTTGATGTTGATGATGTTGATGATGAATCACTAGATTTTTTAATTGCATTAGCAAGAATCTTTTGTTGTACATCATGTTTTGAATTTAATTTATTACTAGTCGAGTTAGGTTTGTTAGTTTTTTGTTGTGGCTGTTGATGGTTTGTTATCGTGGTGGTTGTTGCTGTTGTTGATAATAAAGGTTTTGATAATGTTGCTATATCAGCCTCAGCCGCCGCACTAAAAATTAATAATAATATGTAATAAATGATGATAATGATGATAAAAAATTAAGATACTACAATTAATCCAATCATATGAACAGGCTTACTTACCGTCTAAATTCTTCAAGTTCCTTTTCTACTTTTTTTGATTTGTCCAATTCTTTAATTTTTTCTTCATTGTCTAACATTGCTAAAAATTCAATTTCATCTTCATCAAGTCTATGTACCAAGTTACTAAACCGCGTCATCTCTTGAAATGCTTCTTCTTTTTTCATTTTTTGTTCCTGTAATCTTTCATATAACGTGCGAGGATCATATTCTTCTTTTTCTTTTTCGGGTGGTTCTATTAAAATATATATATATTAGTCTTTCTACTAAAAAAGAATGCCTTTATTTTTATTTTTATTAATTGGTGGTTAATACTTTGCCCAAGTCGTTCATAAGCAGCTTTCCATTCTTCTGCCCTTTTACGTTTAGCTTCTTCCAAATCTGTTGAAGAAACAAATCTATGATCCATTTTTCTTTTGTTTAATGATAAATAATTTATATTTACAGTCAAAAAAGTCAAACTTGAAATTTTGATAAATTTCCACGTGGCAAGGTAAATAGTGCATAATTGGTAGTACAAGAACTATTTAATTAAAAAAGAAAATTTTTTTTTTAAAACGAAAAAGATGTTAAAAATTAAATTTTCAAATTTGAATTTTTTATTTCATAAAAGATTTTTTATTAATTATAACAATAATAACAATAAAAATTTAATATTAATAAATAATTACACCACCGCTACTAATATTAACTATAATAATAATAATAATGATGATGATGATGCCAAAGTTAAGGAACCATCATTGACAGGAAATGAAAAATATCTTTATGAAAAACTAGCTTTAAAATTTAATCCAACAAAATTAAATGTTAAAGACATTTCAGGTATTCTTTCTTTTCCATTATATATTCTTCTTTACATCCTTTTATATTATCCTTTATACAATATTCTTTACACAAATATTTTCCCTCCTTCCATTTTTATGATGCATACAATTAGGTGGATGTGGGTCAATGTTTGCTATAGAAATTTCATCTAAAACCTTTGAGGGTTTATCAACGGTGAATCAACATCGTATGGTAAATGAATTGTTACAAGACGATATTAAAAAAATGCATGGGTTGCAGGTAAAATATTTATTTAATTGTAAGAAATAAAAATAATTCGTCAATTTGGTATTTAATTATTAATTATTTAATATTATCAGCTTAAAACTTCAGCCTCTTAGGAGAATATTTAAAGATCAATAAATGTTATATACGTCATATACCATATTCAGAAACCCTGTTCATTGTTAAAATTAAATTTATCTTTTGGAGAAAAGGGAAACCAAACATATTTTTTGTTTAATATTTGCTCTTTTATAATTAATAAAATTATTGTTGTTATTAGATTTCTTTTTTCATTTAAAATAATTTCATTTTTTTGTTGCAGTCTTGTTTAGATAAATTTGATTTTAAGATTTTAAATTTTTTTAGAGTGACAAAGGAATTGTAGGGGTTCAAACTTTTGTAATAGTGATAGTAAAGTTTGCACCAAAAATAAAAAACAATTAATTCTTTTATTGACATAAAGATATAAAATCAAAGAAACGAATAGTTAAGCAAAACGAAATATTACTGTTAATTTTAAAAATACAAAATGTCTAAAAATGTCGTATCAATCGCAATATATTAATATCTATCTAATAATGAAAAACAAGTCTAGTCTGTATTATTTGTAAAAAAAAGTCAATTAAATTTTTTTGCTGTTTAAATCGTAGGTGTTGTTATTTCTTGAGCTTCTTTTTGAATCTCTTGGTTCTTGAAATTTTTTATCCGAGTTTCTAATACTAAAGTGAAAAGTCAACTGCTAAATGTAATCAATACTCTTTTCTGTTTAGCTTCTTGAACAACCACACATCTTTACTGGCTCGTGCATTTTGAATAAAATCCATTGTTTCCTACCACACAAATTTCGTAAGAGACTGTTTGAAGTATATTTATCCCACCAGCTCTACCACCGTATCCCTTCTACTTAATAATAATTATTGCAAGCGATTATACTAACAATATTGTTGGTTTCCAAAACTAGAGAGTTTCGCAACCGTGCGAAAGTCAAAAGGTTTCGCCACAAGTCGAAACTAGTTTTGATTTTTGATTATTGACTTTTGATTTAGTTTTAACATATAACTTTTAATTTTAGTTTTGACTTTCGTTTCTTCAAAATAGTTTTGGCGACCAACGCTAACTAATAATAACAAAAAGATTTACTTACGGACAATTGATAATCAACGAATGATCTATGAATGCGTGAAATCATCTTCTAGTGCATCTCTAAATGTTTCCATATTTAGCTCACTATCTATATTACAGTATGCTAGTTTAACAGTGACTGTCCATAAACATAAATTTACCTACAATGGACATCATTCTCGGATCATATTTTCAGCATTAAATCTGAATGCCTTATAGTTGATTTCTATAAGAAAGTTGATATTCCAGTTAATGTATTAGTTCCACTCGTTGATTATTAGCAAACATAAACGAATTGGCTGATGTTCTCATATGTTTAGCACCACCATGTCTTCCTGTCATTCTTCAAGATCACGAAATTGCTACGCTTGTTCTCTCTTAAAATAAATACAAAAAAACATGCCACTAATTGTGGTATTTGGAACAATGTCGGTTTCCCACCATTCCTAATTATCGTAATGGTATTGCAGACCAGATAAAGGCATCTCTCATTGCAATTCTCGTAAAAATCGAGCCATAACTTATCAAAATACCATCTAGTACTTAGCTTATGGCAAGAGAGAATTCCTCAGTGGTACGCATGGGAAACTTTTGTTTAATGTATTTTGAATTCTTTAAAGTTAACTCGTCCCCCTTTCTTTTTATTTCTAAATGACCGGTACCAGGCTGGACAACCAGAATCAATCATTTTACTTGTGCGGGTCGAATTGAAATCTAAGACAAGTCAAAGGATAGCTTATATTGTTAAAAAGTTTAATATAGTGAAATAATGTGGTACATAACATTATTGCTTATATTGTAGTTACGATAATCTAAACACCATCAACATATTATCTTGTGGACATGATTTAAATATTGCTATAATTTGCCATAATAATGGATTAGACAACACAGAGGGAGACATAAGCATATACGATAATAATGAAGTTGAAAGAAGAATTGTTATTGTTATCGATAGATCCAATATTGATAATGAACTATTACAAATACTATGACAGATTATTACTATTATTAGATATATGATTTATGTTGGATTTTTGATTTTTATGATTTTTATCATCATTATTATCAATGTTCACATTTCATAAAATATGTTTTACAATAGTACATGACTAATTAGCGTTTGCTTCTCCGGATAATATGTTATTTTTAAAGTGTAAAGTGGAAGAAAAATTTTCTATCAGGAAACTTAAGTATAAAGGAGGAGGGAAACATCAAAAAATTGAAGAGTTAGAAGCTGAACAAGATGCTGCTTATCAAAGATTCTTTGACTAATATGCCCAAACCACAGATCACTTCTACTGCACTCGGTTCACTGGAAACTCAGCTCCTGCTGACATTTTAAGTAAATTTCGTAATCAATTAATAAAATTGAATTGAGTGATAATTATTTGAAAAAAAAAAGAACAAAAAACCAATAAACTAAACCAAAAACAATCAAAAATTAAATAATTGAGAAAATCAATCAAAAACTTAACCGAGACCAAAGATAATAAATAAACAACACAGATTAATCAATTCAACAATTAGAAAACAGATTATGATGAAAACCCAAGTTTGCACCAATGATTGAATAAAAAGAATAGAATTAAAGAATGATATAACAATCTAAAGGAAAGATTGAAAATTTAAAAAGAGTCATCGATTAACTGAAATAATACTTGATGAAAAGAAAACAAAGTGAAGAGCAAAAGAAACAGGAGGTTCAAGAGGAAATAGTTGAAAAGCAAAAATATTCAACAAAAAATGATAGTTGAAAATAAGATAATTATTAAGAAGTCGAAGGAAAATAAAAAAATGACACAAGCCAATTACGGAGGGATAGTAAACAACAAGGCAGCAACTAAGAACTGAAAAAGATACGAAAATAAAAAATACTGTCGGTTAATATGGGGCATGCTGCAACAAAACCAGACAAAGTGAGCATTGGTATTTCAGTGTTCAAATTTTTTTAAAAACATAATCACGATATATAGAAGATATAATTAATTTTTATTAGTTTAGTCTTGATTTTTTGGAAAATACATGATTATCAAAAACTATTCCTATTCAAACAAAGCCACTCCTTAACCGGTGTAAAATTTTTAGACGTTTCCATACATGACTTGGTGTAATCATGAAAGACATTCTGATTGGATTCAAATATAGCCTGCGTGCAGAAATGTTAGTGTAATTCTAACCAATTAAAAAAAGAATTGTCTGTATAAAGATAAAAATTATTACCTTAATAGTGAAAAGGAGGACATGATGTTGACAATATTAGGGAAGGTCATGTGCTCAAAAGGGTAATTGACTTTTAGTATTTTTTCAGCAACGAATGCTTTAGGAGCACCCAGGTTCAATCTATACAGTTCACCTTCATTCTCTGCATGAATTTCGAACAAGACTTTTTCGTCAATAGGACATAGCTTTTCAAATAACAAAAAATGGTAATTAAAAACTCACCGTGTAACACATATGATAATACATAGTATTTCTTTGCTAATTCCACGTCTCCATTTCCATTCCAAAAAGTTTTACATATTGCATCCACAGAATTTCGAAAGCACTTTAGAAGATCTGCACGATACTTGGGTTCCTTTGTCTTTGATGGTGGGCCAACGTTCTCAAAGAGTAAGAATTCTTGGTCAACATTACCATAATTAAAAAGGATGCCATCTGCCTTACGTGCATAACCAACACCATAGATCAATTTGCGGCGCCATTTAGACAAAGGAACTTCATTTTCATTCCTGTTGAAGAGGATATAGTTAGACTAGCAATCAGTATGAAATTATATATTTGTCCTTGTTTGACTTACCATCTGCTAATAAACAGAGCTGGAAAACATAACTTCAAAGTCTCAAAATCAGGAGACACGATTGTAGCTGTGTATGTGTTTTCATCCATTGACAAGTCAAGTTTTTCTCCATGTCCAGCTTGTAACTGCATAAGTTTCATTTCTAATATTCGCTTTACAAAGTCGAATTGTTCTGTGTCAAAGCCTTCAATCATTGTTGTTGATTGTAGATTTGATAATGTGGTATTGACTTTGCGCTAAATTTGAAGCTACCATATCAGTAAACTAAATGGATAAATCAAGGATAGATACAATTACATTTATTTTCTTACTGTGTAGTTTTTTTTAATCCATTTTTTAAGCTCATCAACGTTAATGCGAGGTATAGACTGAGATTGAGCAGTTACTTTTAGTTTGTTGAAAAGTTTTTTATTTATCAATGAATTAGCAGCACTTATATTGATGATGTCTGCATCAGCCAGTCTGTTTAATATAGTAATTTTGTATGTGAAAATATTATTTATCATCATCAATAGAAATTATTGTAGTACCTTTGTTCAAATTCTTCATTATCCAACTCTATTTCTTCATTGTCCATTTGACTTGCCAATATATCTTCAATCGTAAAATTCTCCGACTCTTTTTTATCCTCATCTTTCTTATAGTATGGTTTCTTTGAGCTATTATCTGTAACAATATCCGTGGTCGTTCTATTTTTATTTCATTATTTGTTTTTGTAATTTGGGAAATGTTACATAATTTTTTGTTTTTTTTTTCCAATTTGTAACTAGAGTGACAACCACCATTCTTATGATAAACACTTACCCAGCAACATCGGGAACGAATTCTTTACTTCTTTTTCTTTTTGTTTTAGATTTAGTAGACATCAATAAAAAAAAAAGAAACTTTTATTTGATCGACAAACGCGTCATTAATTATTTATTATTATTATTGGCACGTGGTGTTGGACAAAGTTTTTTTTTGTTGACACGATTGATTTTTTTTTTGGGAAAACAATCTATTTGAGTCCAAGATGACAAAGCGCGAGCCTCCTAAAGAAGAATTGTTATAACTAACCAGAGATACTATTTTTTGTTTGTATTGATATACGGTATATGTATTTTTACTTTTTGATATAATGTGTCTTTTAGTTTATAAATATTTTAATTGAAATCAGAACGTGAGCAGATCATTGCTGGGTAATTATAAGATCCTTGTCAAGATTAGGGTTCCTAACGGTAATTATAACTCCATATTCGAATATTCGTAAATCCCAAAAATTACAAATTTCGAATATTATTTCGAGTGCTTGTAATTATTTCGGGTGCTTGTAGTTATTTTGAATGCTCATTATTTCAGATATTTGTATAAATTTTTAACAAACTGTTATTAATTTTTTCTTGTTCTTTAATTGATAAATTTTCTTTTTTGGACATCATCAATTTGATTGTTTATTTCAAGCTATATCAAAAAATTATTAATAAATTATATCATCATACAAATCAAAAAATTATCATCATTTTTTATCGAGTGTAAGAAGAATATTATGACATTTTAAAAATGATTTATACAATTGAAGTATTAGGAAAAATTTTCTGCAAATTCCTTATCTTTATTATCTTTGAAAAAATGT